ATCCCCTCTTTTCTTAGTTTCCCTGCAACCTCTGTGTCAGTGCTGTTTTATGATGGGGGCTAATGAAGTGAGTTCTGTACACGTGCCTAACCTGGGCAACTCTGTCAATGCAGATAAAAGAATATGAAAAGCTTGACAATGATGAGGACCGGCTCTGTAGAAGTCGACAAATCTATGACACCTACATCATGAAGGAGCTCCTTTCTTGTTCCCATGTAAGTATTGTTTTTGTTCTTTACTGCCTGCCAGGGAGACGGTTTCCAGTATTTCCAAAAGGAAAACAAAATAGAAAGCAGATGTTTAAAAATGCCAAAGGTGCTCTTCTGAGATGAAACGCAGTTCTTTTTTATTGTTATTTGTTTCCAAATGTCATGGACACATTATCTGTATATGTTAAGTGCAGTATGGATTGAAGCTTAATATCAAGAAAAAAAAAAAGATTCTCACCACTGGGCCCACTTGATAAATGGAGAAGAGATTGAGATTGTTGACTATTTCAGCTCGCCCAATTTCACAGTCAACACTCTTGGCACCAGCAATCAGGAAATCAGAAGACGAATTGCATTAGGGAAATCCGCTGTCAGAGACCTCTCCAGAGTGCTGAAGAGCAAGGATGCCAATACTAGAGACTAAGGTGCGCCTGATTCAGGCCACGGTCTTTACAGTTACTTGCTGTGCATCAGAGAGCTGGGTAATGACTAAGGATGACAGAAGAATTGATGCCTTTGAGTTGTGGTGCTGGAGAAGGGTTTTGAACATCCTGTGGATTGGCCAGCAGAACGAAGAATTCTGTCCTAGAGACGGTGAAACCAAGCTGCTCCTTGGAGGCAAGGATTTTGAGACTCCACCTCACATACGTTGGTCATGTAGACAGGAGAGAACAGTTTTTGAAGAAGGATATCATGCTTGGAAGTCTCAAAGGGCAGCATAGGTGAGGAATGCCCCAAATGAGCTAGATTGACATAATGATTGTGGTAATGAGGGTAGATGTATCATAGACAGTGAGATTAGCTCAGGATAGAGCAGGGTTCAGAAGCTATGATGCATAGGGTCGCTATGTGCTGCAAGTGGCTCGACAGCACCTAACAACAAAATACATCTGAAAGGGAGCTCTGGTGGCTTAGTGGTAAGGAATTCCTCTTTTAACCCCGAGGTATGTTGTTCCAATCCATCAGCAGTTCTGTGGGAGAAAGATAGGCAGCCGCCTCCTTCTGTGCAATATATTGCCTCTGGAAATCCCCCGAGAGCCAGCTGTGAGTCGATTCTGACTCAAAGGTTTCCAACCACAACACACATTGGGAAATTTTATGTGTTGAAGACAGAGGCCCTATATTGTAAGATTTGAATTATTGTCTTAGGTATTGCAATCAGTTTTATTCATTTCAGGGTTACAAAGCATAATGTCTAAATGAATAAAAATGCAGTATGATTTGCAACCTTTTACTCAAGTAAAATTTAAAATAAAAGCTTGGTGCTATCATTGCAGAAACCAGTGAAATGAAATGGCTAATTTGTACTAATTGAAGACAAGGTTGGTCTTAATTAGGAACTATTTATAAGGAAAATTGAGCTGCAGTTCTTTTTCTTTCGTTTACCTATACTTCAGTAATGAGACTAATCAAATATCACGAAATAGAAATCTTAAGTAGCTTCTTTGAACTGATAAGGATTGCAATTACTGTGTTGGTTTCATTTGTTAATTGTTAACATGGACACACAATATAGTCATATTCTCCCCCTGCTTGGAAATCACATCAGCAATAGAATAAACTAGGTTCCCAGGAAATTACTCTAGTGGGAGTGAGAGGGTAATTTTTGATGGAAATTTACCATGTGGTGTCTCTACATTTAGACCATTTTCCAAACGAGACATGCAAGTGGCCTGACCTGCGAGGTGCAATGCGTGTGACTGTTTAAATAAAATTGAAAAAGGAAAAGGAATCAACTTTTAATTTCTTAGTTCCTCATGAGTCCTATTTTAAGGGTCAGTGCACAGTTCAAATTTTAAAAGTGCGTCAGATTCAGGCCATAGTCTTTCTGATTATTTACTGTGCGTCTGAGTGAGAGCTGGACAGTGAATAAGGAAGACGGGGGGAAAAACACCTGACGCCTTAGAATTGTGCTGCTGGAGAAGAGCACTGAACATCCCATGGACAGTCAAGGAACAAACAGATGTGTCTTGGAGAGGATGCAGCCGGAGTGCTCTTTGGAGGCAAGAATGATGAGGCTTTGCCTCCCATACTTTGGGCATGTTGCTAGGAGGGGCTATTCCTTGGGGAGGGACATGATGCTGGGAAGGGTGGAGGGTTAACAGAAGAGAGGAAGACCCTCAACCGGGTGGACTGACACGGTGACTGCTGCAGTGGGCTCTTGTGTGTCAGGAAGTGTGAGGATGGCGCAGGCCAGGACAGGGTTTGGATCTTTTGTTTGTAGGGTCGTTATGAGTTGTACTCAGCTAAACGGCACCTTACAACAACAACAACAACAACAACAACACAGTTCAAATCAACCAGCATCTTCTTAGGAGAAAGACAGGCCGTCTCCTCCCGTGCAATTTACTGCCTCTGAAAACGCACTGGAGGGTCAGCTCTGGGTCATTTCTGACCTGATGGTACACAGTGACAACCACATGTGTCTGGTGGCTGCTGTGAAGGCAGCCCAGACAGCTTTTACCACTTAGACAGTTCTGTAACCCACTGTAGGCCATTGTAATGCTCTGTTTCCGTGTTCCTTATTCCAAAACTAGAAGAAATGATTTCTTTTCCCGTACGAACAGCATGGTAGTCTTTGTGGACATCCTTGCTGTCTGGATCGTGCCGTTGTTAAGCCTTGCTGCTGTTTGAGTCACCATGGTGACAAAGACATCTTTGATAGTTACTGTTGTCCTTTGACTCCACCTCCGATTTTTGTTATCAGGTGCCATCGAGTCTTCTGTGACTCATGGTGACCCTGTATAGAAACCCGACCAGGTCCCGTGTGTCATCCTCGAGATCACGCTGTGCGTGAACCCGTTGTTACAGCCAGGGCCAACCTACCTCCCCGAACATCATCTTCTGCCTTCACTTCTAACAGAAAGGATGTCTGGATAAGAGCTAATCTGCAGTGCTCCCTGCTTTCTTACCTGGGAACTGCCTAAACCCTAGAAGAATGGCAGATGTTTAATGAGGAGGCCTCTGGTGGCCTCGTCGCTAGGCAATAGGCTGCCAGTCTAAAGGCAGACAGTTCTAACCCACCAGCTGCTCTGCAGGAGAAAGATGGGCCGTCTCTTCCCTTGTGACTTAAAACCCCCCAAAACTCACCAGAGGTTCAGCTTTGAGTTGATTCTCATTTGACTTGTTACAGAGTTTGAATTTTCAGTAACTTAAAGCATTTCCTCACCACCCCCCCCACAGTGTGGTGTGGGTTTTCAGCCTTTAGTCTTACTGTACATTATAAAAGAAGTCATAGTCTTAAATTTTTCTTTTCTTTTTTTTTAAAAAAAAATTAAAAATTTTTTTCTTGAAGGCTACAGCTTATAATTCCTATCAGTGGAAGCACTTTTCTGTGTTAGAATCCGTTCTCTTCTCTACCTATAACAAGACTTTGGCTAGCCTGGGCAGACCCTTTACCACACTGGCCTGGCTTTGCAATCCCAGACTTTTTGTTCTTAAGTGTATAGCCTCGGTGTTCATTTTCTCTTCTATAGTAGAAATTTCTGATCTGTTGTTCATCGGTTTGCTGTGAGTTGTAGTCAACTCGACAGAATGTAATAACAAGGGTCCCACTGGCAGCTCGCTGAAGGGTGTACACACCTAATAAAATGAAAACAAGTGTCTCTACCAGTTGTCCTGGTAGTGCAGTGGGTGGGTGTGTGGCTGAGAAGCAGGAGCTTGGCTGTGTTGCTGCCCCACCAGCTTTGCAGGAAGAAGACTCAGTGTATAAAGATTACCGTCCAGAAACCAACCTGCCCCCGAGTCGGTCCTGTTGTGTGACTAGTGGAGAAGTGACTTGATGTTAACCAAGACGCCTTGCACTTCATTTTTGGGGTAGTCTAGGTCTGTCTTGGGGGAAATGAAACCAGAGTTGTCCTTGGAAAGGAGGGTGGTGAAACTTCTTCCCACACACATGTTGTTAGGAAGGGCCAGTCCTTGCAGAAGGACATCATGCTGGGGAAGCTGGAGGGTGAACATAAGAGACAAAGACAAAATGGACTGAGCCAGTGACTGGAGCCGTGGGCTTGAGTGTCAGAGCGTGAGGACGGCACAGGACAGGGCAGGGGCTCAGATCCATTGTCCGTAAGGTTTCTAAGAGTCACTCGTAGCATCACACAACAACAGCAACACATGAGATGCCCAAACTTGTCATCCTCTGTCTTCTCAGAACTCTGGAAGCTCATGTTAGTGTTTTTGTTGTTGTTGTGAGGTGCCGTTGAGTACGACTCACAGTGACCCTGTGAACAAAAGATCTGACCCCTGTTCTGTTCTGTGCCATCCTCTCCCTTCCTCTGGAAGCTCATAGAGACAAGTATCTGTAAATGTTGAAGGAAATGTCTTGACACAGTGACCGGCACAGTGACCTTGAGCATGGCAGCAGTCAGGAGGCCGGTGTGCGGCCAGGCCAAGTTTCAGTCTGTCATCCGTAGGGTTGCTATTCACCTCATTGGCACCTCCTGACAACAACAGCGTTGAAGAGTTTTAAGAGTAACTCAAATCACTGTCCTTAGCATGTATTTTGTTGTGTTGGAGCGAGCTCCCAGCTGACCCTCCAGTGGGTTTTTAGAGTCAGTATATGACACGGGAGAAAATTCCCCATATTACTCCCAAGAAACAGTGGGTGGATTCAATTCTCATGTGCCTTTGGGTTGACACCCTGCTGTTTGACCCTACTGTTTGATAAATGCTGTATTAAACAATCTATGGTGATACTTGAGAGCATAAACTGTATTGCCACGTTTTGTGGGGAAAAAAATACTGCTTTTGATTCTTCAAGGCCTTCTCACGACAAGCTGTAGAGCACGTGCAGAGCCACCTAGCCAAGAAACAAGTGCCGACCACACTTTTTCAGGTAAGACAAAGTTCTGGCAAAAGGCAGAGCCTGGCATCTGCCCAGCATTTGGGCTTGAGGGTGCTTGGTTTTTGATTCTTCATTATGCTCACTGCTGGTCATTTCTCCTCCCAAAAGTCATTTCCAGCTGAAGTGTTTTCAGTAGAGACAGCTGTGGGTCGCAAGCACGCAGGCCAAATTCTCAGCTGGATAAGGCCCCTTTGAACATGTCTGTGAGTTAGGAGAAGAGTGAAAGATAGCCGTAATGGGTGGGATGGTAAGAAACACTAGTGGTGCACAGGTTAAGCACATGACTGCTTCACCAGAAGTTAGGTGATCGAAACCCACGAGCTGCTCTGTGGGAGAAAGACCCAGCATTCTGTTCCGTGAAGATTCACAGTCTTGGAAACCTTATGGGACAGTTGCTCTCTGTCCTAAATGGTCTCTGCGAGTGGGAATCGACGTGACAGCAGTGGATTTAGTTTTGGTTTGTGTATAAGTGCTTTTAGTCATTTACAAGATTGGCCAAATAGATTGTGGGACCCTGTGTAAAATGGAAAAAAAAATAAATAAATGAAGACTTTGTTAAAAAAAAATTGTAAATAATTTCAAGATGATAAGAACAGAGCAGTAAGACACCCCGTGGACTTTTCTGAGGGTGAACCTGGGAGACGTCCATAGTCACGTGGCCTCTTGATCAGCCTGGTTCATGTAAGAGGCATCTCTGTCTTGCTGGGAAGCTGTGTTGGGCGGTTGAGACCCAGTGGTAACCCAGGCCAGCCCACCCCAGCCTTCAAGGCGCAGACAACGGAACGCTAGAAAACCATGAAATAATTCATGGTGATTGCAGTTCATCTGTGAAAGTGGTGCTGAGTCCCGGGAATGCCGATAGCACAGTGCTCTCAGAATGTATTAAATTGGCGACTGCATCTCGTTTGAGTCTCTATTCAATTGCTTTTGTGTTTATATGCTTCCTGTTTATGTGATGTGGCCTTTCTCCCCCGACCCCACCTTTTTCAGCCATATATAGAAGAAATCTGTGAAAGTCTTCGAGGCAACATTTTTCAGAAATTTCTGGAAAGGTATGAAAGTTTACGTGGAAACATCTTACTCTGTGTAGATGTACCTCATTTGACTCAGTACGTGTCATAATTATAATGTGTCTTAATTTATTCAGCCAGCAAGGATTTAATGAGTGTGTACTCTGTGGAAGGCCTTGTGTTACATTTGCTCCTTCATACTTAATACTTTGCATTATAACTTCAGGGTCTGCCTAGCTTTGTCTCTTGGACCTTTAAAACGGGCTGAGATGTAAATAGTTCTAAGACCTTCCATATTAAAGTATCTGTTGGGGAAACTTTTTCTAATGAAAACAGGACTCTGTAATTTTTCTGATGATTTAAAAAAAAACAAACCAAACACATCATACCCTTGGAAATGAAACAAGCCTGAGTTCAATACTTTAGGAACAGAGTCTAAGGACTTAGGTAAATGTCCTTTTTTAGTCTTATAGGTCATTAATACGCCTCTTAATATATTCCCCCTGGGCTACTCAGAGTAGAGAAAATGTTTATCATATTAAATCCTGAAGTTTCTCAATGACGCTTCTGTTCTGCCAATAAGCTTTTCAGGCACCTCCCAGCCAACCTGGCAGTGTTTTGAGAGCTGCCTCTGTGATAGATGATGCATATTGGAAGTGAACTTGTTCACACTGCATTTTTCTCCAGCAAGATGGCTGATTTCTAGACCATTTCTACCGTGAGGAATCATGTCATTACAGGGCTCAGAAATGGCTTTTGAACAGCATACGTCTCTGTACCACTGCAGTTTTCTTTTCCACACCTTCACAAAACCAGAGACACTGTGAGGAAAAAAAAAAGTTGTATTGTTATACTACTAGAATTCAAGAGATATTTCCATCCTACGATCGAGTTACTGCTTTGTGAAACTACTTTTGATAGAAATGATAGTGCCTGCCTACAACTAGGAGAAGATAACGTAGATGAATGGGATCTTCTAAGACTCAAATCCCTATGCACATCCAAAAACTTCTCCAACAGGGTAAAAAGGG